GAAAAATCTAACATTGTGATGTTTTTTTATTCTGCTATATACAGTATATTGCAATATTAATACAATTTTGTAAGCACTTCTCTCTTTGTGCCGTGTACTTTGGAAACCCAAATGCAGAAACAGAAAAAGCTCTGTGAAAATAGCAGCATTTGGACGGAATTTTAGCTTTCTCTGCTATAATATTAAAGCGCATCTGGCCACCGCCCTTCTCTGTGTGCTCTGTAAAAGCCATTTTCTCCCTTTGCATTGAACTTGAGTGTATTACATTCAGAGATGTTGTTTATTTTCACAAAGCTTGCACATCAACTAAAATTTAAAATATGATATCTTACTGTTTCCCAGAGATGGGTTGCGGCTGGAAGGGCATCTGCTGCGTAAAAACGTCCTGGATAAGTTGGTGGTTTATTCTGCTGTGATTAATAAAAGAATATAAATATTATTATTTTAAATAAAGACGCTGGATTAATAAAAGGACTAAGCCGACTAGAAAATGAATGAATAATATGGTACTGGACCACCCCTTTAAAAATTGAGTATATCCAATGAATCATATTTTTCAGTGTTGTTTAAATCTGCATTAAGCACCATTCACATATGATCTGATTATTGAAAACACATTTTAATACCATAATTAACTAGTTTAGACATTTTGAACAATTGCTGTTTTTTTAGTAGTTAAATCAGCTTTCATACAGTCAGAAGACACTTTTTGTTTATTAACAGCAAGCAACAAATGTACATTGTACATGTACATCTTATGCTACAAAAGGTTTAAATTAGGACTAAGAAAGCTGCTCTTGTAGTTTCTTTCTGTTTAGATGGCTACAGATGCACAAAAAGCCCACACAAATCTTCTGGTGTCTGGACCCCTTGTGTTTCTTTTAATTGGGTTTGTAAGAGGGGAATCGTTCATCTTTTTCGCTGTCTCTTTCTATCGGTATACTCTGCCAGATGACATTACTCTGGCTTTTGGGTGCTGAGGTTTTTTTTCTTCACTCCCATCAGGTGAAGTTTTTTTTCCCTCTCCGCTGTCGCCACTGCCTCGCATGGTTCAGGATTGGTAGAGCTACGCATCGATGAATTGGCTCTTCAGTGTTTGAACTCTCAGTAATGATTAAATCACACTGAACTGAGCTAAACTGAACTGAACTTAAACATTAAAAACTGAACTACACTGTTCCAGTTACTGAACCACACTGTTCCAGTTACTATGACCATTTATGTGAAGCTGCTTTGACACAATCTACATTGTAAAAGCGCTATACAAATAAAGCTGAATTGAATTGAATTGAATTGAGTGAAACTAACCCAAACCTTGTAATCCTTAACCCTCTCAGATGAAACCTCTAAGCTGCAGTGGCCAGCAATCCATCATTTACTCTGAGCTTTTCACACTTTGTGTCACAAATGTCGCACTGTCCAGAACAATAAGGCTCCCTGTTTTGGAAAGTCCAAATCATTTTTGTTTTCAATGCCTGAGGATTCTGGTTTTTGTGTCTCTTTGTTTGGAAGAGAATGCAGTGATATACAGTTAAAGTCAGAATTATTAACCCCCTGGACATTTTCCCCCAATTTCTGTTTAACGGAAAGAATGATTTTTTTCAAGACATTTCTAAACATAATAGTTTTAATAACTCATCTCTAATAAATGGTTTATATTATCTTTACCATGATGACTGTACATAATATTTGACTAAATATTTTTTTCAAAATACAAGTATTCAGCTTAAAGTGGCATTTAAAGGCTTAACTATACTGTAGGGTAACTAGGCTAAATAAGTCAATTAGGCAAATCATTGTACACTCACCAACCACTATATTAGGTACACCTGTACAACTGCTCGTAACGCAAATTTCTAATCAGCCAATCACATGGCAGAAACTCAGTGCATTTAGGCATGGTCAAAACGATCTGCTGCAGTTCAAACCGAGCATCAGAATGGGGAAGAAAGGTTATTTAAATGTCTTTAGATGTGGCATTGTTGTTGGTGCCAGACGGGCTGGTCTGAGAATTTCAGAAACTGCTGATCTACTGGGATTTTCATGCACAACAATCTCTAGGGTTTACAGAGAATGGTCCAAAAATAAAAGAAAATATCGAGTGAGCGGCAGTTCTGTGGATGCAAATGTCTTGTTGATGCCAGAGGTCAGAGTAGAATGGCCAGACTGGTTCCAGCTGATAGAAAGGCAACACTTACTCAAATAACCACTCGTTACAACTGAGGTCTGCAGAATAGCATCTCTGAATGCACAACACATTCAACCTTGTGGCAGATGGGCTACAGCAGCAAAAGAACATGCCGGGTGCCGCTCCTGTCAGCTTAAAACAGGAAACTGAGGCTACAATTTGCACAGGCTCACCAAAATTGCTCAATAGAAGATTGGAAAAGCCTTACCTGGTCTGATAAGTCTCGATTTCTGCTGTGACATTCAGATGGTAGGGTCAGAGTATGGCATCGGCAACATGGAAGCATGGATCCATCCTGCCTTGTATCAACGGTTAAAAAAATGAAAACATTAAAAAAATCTACATCCATATAATAAGAGAGATAAAACTGGCTGCTATCAACCCTTTTTAACTACCATAATTTACACAACCAACCTAAGAGTACAGTATAATACACAAACTCCAACTACCAAAAATGTCATTAAATGTCCATTTTTCAACTTTTAAAGTCCCCATGAAATCAAACCTAACCGTATAATTTTGTTGGCTCACATTGCTAGTTTTGTGTTGAACAATTAATCTATGCATGTCAATAAGAAAGAAAAGGTTTGCCCTTTTAATCTTTAATTAAAATCTAAAAATAAAAGTACTTGCTGTTTTGTTTTGTTTTTAGTTAAATTGTCAGATTATGCATATCTTAGAAATTGGGTGTGGCATCATTCATTTAATATAACCTATTTAACCATGCTGCCTTAACCGTGTTTTGACAACAAACAGAAATGGCGAGGAGGAGGAGTCTTTTAGGTTGTAATTACTCCCCCCAAACCCTTTTCCCGATCTTTCTGAAATGCCTACATCCAATCAGCATGCAGTAAAAAAACAAGCCACACCTACTGTTCTCTCATTTAATATTCCGTTTCTCTAGGAACTGTCACAATATGAAAAAAATTACGGTCGCAGCTTTCGGTTCATGGGGACTTTATAGTTGTCAAAAGAGAGATCAAGCTTCTAAATTCAATACCACAGAAGAACTAAATTCTCTCATAAAACATAAATTGCGATAAATGCTATAAACTGCCAATTAACTAATATATTTAACTACAGGTTACAGATTATCTAAACATTTCCATCTTTGCCAAAAAGTTGAACACTTACACCAACTCATAAATCATTGGAACTCTCCAAAGTCTCACTCATATAAATCATTATCACTCTTGCTCTAAATTGACATACTCACTGAGGCATTGCTTATTTTTAACTCCATTGGATAGAACAGGAAAGAGTCTATTTTTGGTCTGCCAGCTGTTGACACATTTCACCTCATGCATGCATGTGTATGTGTGTGTCTGTATGTGTGTGTGTGTGGCCGCTCTACTCTTGCTGAGGGGTCCAAAGGTGCCGGTAGAGATCACACTGACATTGAGTGGAGGATGTGATTCACGCTGCCTGCTCACATTCCCAACACCTGTCAGGGGGCCATTTTACAAGAGGTCCCGCTTGGATGCATCCACTTGTCCCACAGTGTTGACACTCTGAATGCTTCAGGATACATGTAGAGCAAAAACTCAGAATAGAAGTTTGTTTATTTGCAGTTTTAAAGAGGCTGTGTATAAGAATTCTACACCAAATGGCACGTTTGAGCGGTCTTAACTGAAAAGTACTTGAAAATGACTTACCTCCTGAATTATTAGCCCCCTGTATGTTTTTGCCCAATTTCTTTTGAACGGAAACAAGATTTTTTTCAGACGATAATTTTCCGATCATAATACTTTTATTAACTGATTTCTAATAACTGATTTCTTTAATCTTTGCCATGATGACAGTACATAATATTTTGCTAGATATTTTTCAAGATACTAGTATTCAGTTTAAAGTGCAATTTAAAGGTTTAACCCATACCTTTCAACATCGGGATGTGAAATTAAGGGATATCCCGTACATTAAAAAGAGGTGTCACTTTAAATATATACCGATCTATAATGAAAGACTTTGGTTGCTTTCTTAGCTTTTTATGCCCATTTAAGACAAATTAGTTGTGTTGAAAAGAAAACCCAGCAAGATCAACTTGTTTAGATGTTATTATTATTATTTATTTTTATGGGTATATGTCTGTTCAAACATGCACCCAAATCTAGAGTGTCCACTCTCGCTCTGCTTCAAATCACGTGTACAGAATCGGTTTGAACAGCATCTATTTAACACTATGGAGCGCTTCAGCTGACAGTCACGCACCGCTACATGAACTGACTGTTTTGAGGATTGAATACCTATAAAATTTGCAAAATGTTTTGATTTGCTAGTGTGCATTGTTAGTCTTAAGGTGAACAATTCATATTAGCAATTTAATGCACACAAAAAAATTATTTCAAAATCTGACCAATTGCTTCTACTGTAGAATGGCTGTTCTTCTCTGTTTGACGGCTTGGGCAGAGTGTGTTTAGCCACGCCCCTGCAACTTTTGGTTTGCTGCAAGTGAAAGATGACAGGAGGAGCACAAGTTTAAAGCCCTGCCCTCTACTTAATATTCCATTTCAGCTGGAAATGCATCATCATATTAAATTAACAGTCTGCAGCAACTTCTAGTTTGTGCAGTTTTTAAACTAAATGTTGTTCTTATCAGTGGGAACGGCACTGCTTATCAGTTTAACACTGCAAACGTAATTCTCCCTTTTTCAATCAAAGAGTGAAAAAGATCTTGATTTCATTATATTGGAGCATTGAATCACGTTGAGTCTCTTGCAGTTTAAGTGTACACTAGTGAGACGCAATCATTTATGTACTGAGGATTATGTTCACTTTTTATATAAATTTGTGTTCTGATGTTTTATTACAGGTCTGTGTGTCGGAGGCTGGGTGAGGAGGTGTTCCTGAAGGTCTATGATTATCTGAAGCAGGCCAGACAGAAGCAGGAGAGCGAGGAGAGCATTAGACAGACTCTGATAGAGCTGGTGGAGAAACCCAGCGACTGCTTTGAAGTAGATCAACTTCTTTATTATGAAGAGATTCTTCTGGCAGCGCAGGAAAACACTGTAAGATAAGAATGAAGCAGACGCACACACTAACACAATGTGTCAAGAATCATACAGATCTCTATATCTATTTATTTGATCTGCCTGCGGTGTGGCTTTGTATTATGAGAACTCCACAACTAACACAAAATACAATGCAATCAGGTTTGTTAAAAATATAGAGTATAAAAATAGGTTCATGAGTTGAAATCGAAAGGGCAGAAATGTTGAAATATGTTTATTTATGTGTGTGGATGAGTGAGAGCATGGATCACAAAACCTTAAGCACAAAGCATAAAAAAAAATAAAAAATACGTTGCTTGGGTCAAAATTACAGATTTGAGTTTTTCCAGATTTTCAAATCATTGTATTTTGGACGAATATTTTCCTGTCCTAACAAACCATCCATCAATGGAAAGCTTATTTATTGTATATATCTCGGTTTTGGTTTTGCAGTCTGGGGTCAAATATACTGTATATCATTGAAAATTAAATACACATTTTTATAAATTTTAGCATTTTTAACTATAATATGAAATATATTAAATAATATGTAAAATGTGTAATTCAAATCTACACTTGATAGTAATTATGTGCATAGTAAAGCTCAAAGTGTCTTCTTTCCAGTGATACTTAATTTTTGTTTGTAGCTCACTGAGGTCAAGAACTGTTAAGTAGGTGTAAAACTGCCAAAAGTGAGTGCTTGCAATTCTGCAATACACACTTAACCCTAACATTTGTAGTGTGTCATGAAATTTTCTCATGCTTTAAAGAGCTTCACTGCATATGTGTCACATTTGTAAATACAAAAATAGAAAGATGTAAATTAGTGCTGAGCAAAGATTAAACGCAAATTATCACATAGTTTATTTTGATGTAATATGTGTGTGGATTTGTGTGTACAGTGTGTTTATTGTGTTTATATAAATACATGCATACATCTATTTGAGAAAACGTTTTGTCACCGTGGACCGGTCTGCGCTTGACAATTTTACTGCGACCCGGGGGATCTGTGTAAGTAGATGATGATGCTTGGTAACCATCAACTATTTTCTCAGAGGATGACCAGCAGACAAAACATTGCTGCAACTCTGATACAAGTTTAATTATGGCCAAAATTGAAAAGTGCTGCTGTGCTACCGAAATGTTTATATTTCACACATAATATGAAGCTGATCAGTTCTTGTCACGTGACTCATGTTTTTAACTAGGGGCGCCTGGGTGCCTGGAAGGCTTGCACGCATTGCTTTCAATATGCGCACGCAAGCTGTGTGCCTCTGTTGGAACTAACAAATTTTGGCACGCAAAAGACACAATATGTGAATGACCGCTGTCATTTTCAATCTCTTCTTGCACACACAGACATACTGGACTCACCAGATTTTTTGACAAATGGCTTGTGGATCCATTCTTTGGCAGTTTGTGGGTCCTTCCCTTTCCCATTTTGTGAGCATTTTCCCCTTTGCAAAGACACTTTCCAAAATGTCTGTTTCTTTCTAATTTTGATATCTTGTTGGTTAAATTTTAATGGCGCTTTTCTGGACACTCAAAGCGCTTTACACATTTTTGCGGGGAATCTTCTCATCCACTACTAGTGTTCAGCATCCACCTGGATGTTGCTACGGCAGCCATATTGCGCCAGACCACACACCAGCTGATTGGTGGTAATGAGAGAGTGATAAGGGGGTGGTTAGGAGACCATGATGGACAGAGGCAAATTTGGCCAGGATGCCGGGTTAAACCCCTACTCTTTCTTTTTTTTTTTTTTGAAGGACATCCTGGGATTTTTTCAATGACCTTGGTTTAACGTCTCATCCAACTAAAAAATGTTGCTCAAAAATACTCAAGTGAACAAGATATAATTGAATATTGAATAATTGAATGTTTTTTAAAATAGAAAATTTTTCAAAAGAAATAATCGTTCAAACTCGGATAATAATTAAAATGGAAATAATTAATGATTTCTTTTGAGGCTCGGTACCAATTGATCCACAGACTGGTACTGGTTGGGATCCGCTGTTATATGTATTTGATTCAAATTATATATTAAATTTAAATATCTATGCAGAAAAGTTTTATATAATTTTGTTTTAATGTGTGTTTGTGTTACATATACAGAATAAATATATAAAATACACACATCTTATGTCAAAACAAACTTATTTTGGATGTGATTATTATTTGCTTTAATAAATGTATTCAGCTTTGAGATTCTCTACAAAAAGTACTAAAGAAATCAATTTCTTTTACTGTGTTCGTACTGTAAAATTTATGTTGATGTGTCTTATCTTTTTGTTGTTGTTGTTGTTACGTTATATGATGTATAAATAAGTTTAACTTCTGATAAGTTTACCTGTCTCTGGTTAGTTTTTCCATCTTGCTGTTTTGAAAGCAGTGCACTGCATTCAAATATTAAATTTTTGTCACTATCCTCTACAAACCCCTGGTGTTTTACGATTATAGTTACTAATCGACCTGTGTTGCCGCTCCTATTCACCAAAAATTGTCTGATTTCTCCCAGCTCAGAAGTTAGCAAGCTGAGTAAAGCGCAACAGTGTAAGATCAATAGCAGAAAACAGCGAGGTACAGGGACTCAAGCTGAGCTACCGCTCCAGTCTGCATTCTCCATTGTATTGTGTGTTGTTATCGCTGAAGCAAAGCCAGACATTCATTACAACTTATCGACTTTTCCATGACATGAATGTAAGAATGTTGTCCTTTTTTCCCCTGTTTAAAGATAGTGTAGACTCAAAAGATGGCTTTAATAATCTCACCAGTTGAACTGCACACATTGTACCACTCAGAAGATTGAGTGTTCTGCACAATACCATCACTGATTTAATCAGATGATGTACATGTTTTTACAAACAGCTGTTTGTTATAGTGATGGATTGCTAGTTGGTCTCTTTATCTCACTATTAAGGCCCTGAAATACTTCAAGCAATCGAAGAGAAAGGGGATTTAAAAAGGGTAATTTAGTTTTTATTTCACAGCTCTGGGTCTGAAAAAGGTTCTCACAACTCTGGCTTTACATATCTCACAATTAACACTTTAGAGTAATGGTCCATTAGTTAATGTATTTACTAACATTACCAAGGTATTTAATAATCATCATTCAACATTACTAATGCATTATTATTATTTAAAGTTGGGCATGTTAACTAGTGAGTTAACATTAGTAAACGTTAATTAAATTTAACTTAACCTTTAGTAACGTTAACAAAAGAAAATAAGTAATGTAACAACTGCATTACTACTTGTTTGTTAATGTTTGTTTATGTATTTACTAGCAAGTAGTTATACATTTATAATGGTATTTATAAATCTTTGGTAACTAATGGACCATTATTTTAAAGTGTTAACAAATTCTGACTTAAATTGTAAGGATAAATGTTAACAGTTAAAGTTAAACGTTTTTATTTCTGTGATTTCTATGGGATAATTTATATGTGACAGAATCTTGCAATTCTGAGTTTATTTATTTTGTGTTTGTATCTTCTGATTTTTTTTCTCCCAAATTTTAACTCAATTCTTAGTAAAAAAAAAAAAAAAAAAACAACTGTTCACATCTTGTAATTCTGACATTCTCACAATTTTGAGTTTATATATTGGAGATCAAATTTTTTTATATCACAATTTTGTGACCAAATTCTCTCAAAAAATTATATTATATAAGAAAGAATATTTGTTCAAACTATTTTTTTAAATTAGCTGAATCAACACAATTCTTGAGTTTTGTTTTAGGGATAATTTAATTGTATGTTCTGTCCAGGTGGCACGGTGGCTCAGTGGTTAGCACTGTCGCCTCACAGCATGAAGGTCGCTGGTTTGAGTCCCGGCTGGGTCAGTTGGCATTTCTGTGGGGAGTTTGCATGTTCTCCCCATGTTGGCGTGGGTTTCCTCCGCGTAGTCTGGTTTTCCCCACAGTCCAAAGACATGCGGTACAGGTGAATTGGATGAACTAGATTGGCCGTAGTGAATGGGTGTGTGTGAATAAGAGTGTATGGGTGTTTCCCTGTAGTGGGTTGCGGCTAGAAGGGCAAACATATACATATACCTGTATAGTTTCTGAAATAGAGACTAAGACGAAGGAAAAAGAAAGTTCCACTTTGTAAAAATGATTTCTCAATCAACTTTTGTTGGAACAACATGACGGAATTGTGTGTAACTGTGCATTTTTTACAGTGTTGTCTCTTTTAATTCTGGAGTTGCATCATAATTCATAAATAGAGTTTATACTTCATAATTCTGAATATTTTTAATATTAGCAGTTTACATCACACAAATTCTGAGAAGAAAAGTGAACTGTAAACCCGTCAGTCATTATTATAAAGTAGTAAGTTCAATTTTATAACTAAATTCAAAACACAGTTCATAAATATGCAAAATCCAATTCCTAAATTAAAACACATTTTGTAAATCTGCAAAATCCAATTCGTAAATTCAAAATGCAGCTTGTAAATCCACAAAATCCAATTTGTAAAATCAAAACACAAGTTGTAAATACGTAAAACACAATTCGTAAATTCAAAACAGTTCATAAATACAAAAACACAATTCATAAATTAAACGTAAGCTATGAAATGGTTTTCCAAAGTGAACTTTCAGAAAAGTTATCTCCATCTTTAAACTATTTCTGGACCGAGGATGAACTTAACATCAGGATGTTCACAAACAATGTACTTCTGAAAATGTATTTCAAACTTCTTTTTAGCCTGTGCAAAGAACAAAAAAGAGCTTTGTTGTGAGAATATCGAAGCCCTTAAAGTGAAAAGTAAAGGTTGTGTGTGGGGTGAGGACAATAAAGCAAGACATTCCATCTCTTTATCAGCCTTTAAGTACAGTTGGCAGAAGCTCAGAGAACTTTGTATCACATCAAGTTCATAGCTGTGTCTTGTGCAGCCATGCTGCGCTGTTAAATTACATTTTCACATTTTAAATAGTGTTCCAGTTTGCTGTCAAGTATTAACCACATACCTCACGTCCTCCTACTGTTTTCACTTTTCCACATGTCAGAAAAACAAAGCTTTAATACACCCTGTGGCTTAAAGGTTCAGAGAACTGTACGATCCATCTAAGATCCATAGCTTTGCGATTCTAGTTGGTGTTGTGTTCATATCAACACTGTCTCATTACCGTGACTGATATGTTTTGACTGGAGAGTGACAGAATATTGTCACAGACAATGGCAGATGTCGTATGGGATTCGATGCCTGTGCTTCGTCCAGTCGAACGGGTAAAAAAAAATGTTTATAAAATGGATGGAGCGACTGACTAAAAGACAAATTGTGAGTTTAGTTTTGACAGGTTGTTTTCACTCAGTTGGTGTGTGACATGGATTGACAGCTGTATTTACCAACAGGTGCAACTCGTAGAGCACATACTATACAGGAGCATCTCTAAACCAACTGCATTTGACAAATAAGCAAAGTGAAGTTGTTTGCTGTATTCTCTAAAGCCTTGAATAAAATACCTTTAACCAAAATGACTGAAGTAAATGAGGAAGATGGTGACTTTCATTACATTAGTAATAAATTAGCAAAATGAAAAATTGTTCTGTGCGACATGGTGGCTCAGTGGTTAGCAGTGTCACTTCACAGCAGGAAGGTCCCTGGTTTGTATCCCAGTTGTGTCAGTTGCTATTTCTGTGTAGAGTTTGCATGTTCTCCCCGTGTTGGCGTAGGTTTCATCCGGGTGCACCAGTTTCCCCCATAGTCCCAAGACATGCTCTATAGTTGAATTTGTGAATTGAAACTGTCAGTCCAGTATTCAGAGTTGAAGTTCAGTTCAGTGTGGTTTAATGTTCACTGCTGAGAGTCCTAACACTGAAGAGCAAATGCATCGATGAGCATCTGTAACGTCGG